CAAATCCAATGTCGCTGGTGCCAAAATGTTCTCACTGAACATGGTGGAAAGTGTAGTGCAAACAATAAATCATTTATTTTTGTATTATTATACCGATAAAATAATTTTTCAGGGAGCAAGATGGACAAATTTTGTTCTCAAGTAAATGAAAATTGTTAAAAATACAGAAAGCATCAGAATATAGGGTGAAGTAGTGACAGCATAAGCTTGCAAGCAACTCTTTGCACAGATGATGATGGATCCTTGCTGTCTGTAGGTGACTCCTGACCACTTCCCTGCTGCCTGGTGTTGGTACTGTCAGTGTGGCACAGCTACTTGGTGACCTTGAGTGGCACTGCTAGCAGCAGCATGTCACCCCAGCCTTCCCCTGCTCCCTTCTGCCAGTTCCTGCTCTGTGCCCCAGCTTTGCACAGCTCCCCAGCTCCATTTGTTTTGCATTCCGTCCTCCAGGAACTTCTCGTCAAACCTTTTTTCTGTGCCACAGTTCTGCCTAGTGCTGGGGTCCCCGTTTTAGGAAGGACAGACAACTTCTAAGAGAGACTCCAGCAGGAGGCCACAGAGATGATGAGGGACCATCTCCTTCATGAGACAAGGCAGAGAGAGCTGGGGCTGTTCAGCCTGGAGAAGAGAAGGCTGAGAAGGGATTCTATCAGTGCTTAATTATCAAACAGGCAAGTGAATGGGGCCAGGCTCTTTTTAGCAATGCCCAGCAGCAGGACAAGGAACAGTGGCTACAAACTCAGACACAGGAAATTTCCATCTAAACACAAACAAAAACTTATTAACTTTTGGGGGTGACAGAGCACTGGAACAGGCTGCACAGAGGGATTGCAGACTCTTCTTTTCTTGGGATATTTGAGACCCTCTTGGATGGTTTCATGTACAACCAGCAGTAGGGAACTTGCTTTAGCAGGGGGTTGGACTGGGGGATCTCAGGTTCCCTTCAATGCCTCTGATTCTGTGAGTTCTGGCAGAGAGGAGAGAACTCATTAGAGAAACCATCAGAAACAAGTGGGTGCAAAGCAAATTACTACAACGTTGTTCAGCTGCGTGCTTCAGCCTTCTTTGCCAGTGACTGGAGTTGTAGTGGTGGCTCTGGGCTGAGTTCTGCTGACTCACTTTGCAGGCTGGACACACGCTCCCATATGAGTGTTTTGCTCATAGAGCATTTTGCACATGGGATTTGTAAGCTGCCAGGACAAGAACAAGTCATATTTATGATTCTAAGTTTTTGGTGTTCTATTTTGTAGGGGTTTTTTTTTTCCCTCTTTGAAATGACTTGATTTTGCAAGATTTTGGATCAGATAACTCTAAACTTAATAATAAGAATGAATGAAGTAATCGTATGGCTCTGTTCTAATTGTTTGTTTAAGGAGAAGAACGGAGTGGGTTTCTTTTTGCACGTGCTGCTGTAGAGCTAGCAATATGTTTAAAATTTGGTTCAAGTCTTTTGGGCTCCCTTGTCTTGACACAAGCTCCTTCCTGCTTCTCAGAGAGTGCTTTTATTCTCAATTGGCCGCAGCTGGCTCAAATTGATCGGCATTGATGTGAAGAGGTGTGGTCGGTCCTTCGGTGGCAGCAAGCCCTTAGATTAGATCAAGTCCTGTCTGGTTGCAGCCTCAGCAAAAATGCTTTTCCTTTGGATGTAGAGGAGCAAAAATAACTCACTACAAGTGAGTGCTATTGCTATTTGTGATAGCAAAAAACCCCACAAACATAATAATTGAAAAGAAAAAAAAAAACAACAGAAAAAGCACAGCCTCTCCCCAGCAACAGAAAGCCACCCGACCTTTAAGTGATTGCAGTGTTCCTCCAAGAAATGCAGATAGCTGCCTTAGCTGAGAGCTTCTTGTGAGCCATGAAGAGCTCCTCAAGGTTCCCATGATATTCATGATGGTGCTACAAGCTAAGAAACACTGAACCTATAAAATCTGAGATATCTATCCCAACTTCCAGGTATTATTAGGAGTAATATTAACATTTTCAATGTGTTTATTGACCACAGTGGAATCTCATCCCAAATGCACTGTGGTTTTGAAAATCTGTGTATTTTTTTTTAGTTTGAAGTGTTACTGTGCCCTTGAGTTACTATGGATTCTTGTTGGCTGTTTCTGTCTTAACGTGTGTAGAATTATCAAACTGGAAGTGCATCGTCTGCTTCTCCTTACAGAGTGCTGAGGAACATAAGCTGTGTAAAACACTGACATTTTTCTTCTTTCTGGATGTTAGCAGGAACAGTTTTGTGTCGTTCCTCTTCTAAACCTTTCTTCTTTTGTTTGGGTTCAGCCTCCTAGCACTTCCTCGTAGGTGAATGGGGGTGAAACTATAGTTATAATTTTGAAAAAAGAGAAGTAATCCTAAGTATTAATAATAATTTCAGGATGTTTTTGACAGCAGTGTTTGTTGTCTGTAAATGCACTATAAGTTGTATAAAGCTGCTTTCCTGACAGTCATTTCCTGACCATAGCTGTGCACACAGTGAGTCCCATATGCTGAGAACTGGCTTGATGGCTCTCATTTGGTGCAGTGTCCTTTAAGAAATTTATGGCGTTTATGCATACACATATGTGAGATAAATGGATTTAATTGTTTCAGTGGCTGTAAGCTGTGATGTGAGTTTCATGGGTTTGCCCCTAGTGATGGATGCTGTTCCTGGTGATAATCTATCATAGAATCATGGATGATTTGGTTTGGAAGGACCTCACAGCCCACCCAGTCCCAAGCCCTGCCACGGGCTGGCTGCCCCCACCTCATCAAGCTGCCCAGGGCCCATCCAGCCCGGCCTTGAGCTCCTGTAGGGATGGGGCATCCACAGCTCTCTGTTGGAAAGTTTCTGCTCCCAGAGGAAGGCTTTTTGTGCACTGAGCTTCCAGCCGTGGCTTTCAGTTAAGGGTGTGGTGTCCCTGACACACTGGTGCCAAAAGCAAGCAGCATGGCAAAAAGTCCATTGCAGCTTATCTGACTTCCCCGCCTGCTCTGCTTAACTGTTCAGATTCCTTTTATTTTTTGTCTGTGCACATGGTGCTGAAGGTCTCACGGCAGAGTCCACCTTGCCTTCCTCACAAAGGGTTTTTGAGGAAATTTGTGGATACATTTCAGTGGCTTCAGTGGATGTCTGTAGGACTGAGCTACGAAGTGGATGTTTAACCTCTGCTGTAAAAGGACTGCCTAGAGATGAATGCTGAATTTCCTGTTGATTATTGCATTCCAGATCCTTCTCAAAGTCCAGATTAGAATAGGAATAACAGAAGCTCAGTGCAATGCCGTGGTCCCATTTGGGGATGGCCTTTGTGAGGTTGCTGGGAGCACCGTGCGGATGTGCTGTGTTCTGGGTCTGTGCTGGGCCATGGTGGGGGTGGTTGGGTCTGCAGAGCACCTACTTGGGTCTGCAAGCTGTTGTTTTACAAAGAAGAGTCAGAGACATTGGGGTTGGCAGTGGAGCTCAGAGAATAGGCTGTGGAATGGGGTAGTGGGTGTTGAGTGATTTGTTCACTGCGTTTTGGAATGGCTGGCAGACCTGTTTTCTAATGTGAGAATTAGAGGGGATGAGATCTACTGATTCTAATGTCTCAAAGTAGATCGTTTTTTTTCACTGCACTGATTTTGCTCAACATATTTTGCATTGCAAAATAGCTTACTTTTTCTGTGTGCATCCACATCTGAGGTGGTTTTAGCTAATAAACATGCAGGTATATGCCTAATCCAGATCACAGACAAGCACAATTTAAGACAAGAAGCTAAGGAAAATTTTAAAACAGAGGTGTGTGTCAATATTTACCAGCTCTAACGTGCAGCAGGAGAATCATTATTTAGATAATAATACATACAACCTCTCCCTCTGCATCAGAAAAAGAATTGCAGTAACTTCCAGTATCATCAGATTCTGATGGTACAAATACTTACAAAACTGAAGGTACATAATGAAATGAGTAGCTGAGATTGAGTTTTTCCTGCCTGTTTGAGTCCCTGGTCTAAATCAGTATAACTGAATTGAGTGTGTTTGATCTCAGTGGGGCAGGGAGCTGGAGGCTGATACTGAATTTCCTTTATCTATTCCTGTATCTGCAGGAAAAGACTTGCAGGTTCACTTGGCACATTTATTGGTAACGTTGCTAAATACCATGAGGGTATGGGATTTCAACTTGACATATTTTGTATGTAATGTACATCGTTGCAGCTTGCTGAACAAATTCAATATTTGCAGTTCTGTGAAGTACAGTTTACATTGGTGACATTTTGCTTATCGTGTGTGATGTGCGAAGAAAATTATCTTTTCTGAAAATGTTGAATTTGATACATGATTGGGAATGAGAGATCCGAGTTGTAAGGTGTTGCAGGGGATGCTTTATCAAACTGTTAAGCTTAGAAAGCTTCATGAAATCTTCCAATTTTTGAAAATGGCACATTATAGTCTTCATTTTTGAATGAAGATTAGAATGTGCTGTGAAAACTGGGCTGATGTTACACAAAGGGGTTCTTGTGTGTGCAAGAAAGCTGCGTGGATGAGCAGTGCCAGCTGTTTTCAGGCTTTCTGGTAAATACCTGCAATTGTTTGTTAGGTGTAAAGCTGAAGTGAGCCCTGGCCAGTGGGCTCATTTCATTGACTTAAATGTCTGAAATTTAAAAAAAGTTACAGTGAATGTAGACATCGTGCTGTTGCAGTGCTGTCTGTAACAAGATTTGAAAGACTTTTGTGCTTTGGAAAACCATGCTTTGGAGTCAGCTTCAAGAGCTGGATGTGGGTGTTTTTATGGTGGTTTGTGTAGCATGTATCCACATAGTACATTCAACTTGCATGTGTGTTAGATTACATTCCTAGTCACATCTTTTAACACTGTTTTTTCTTTATGTTATTGCTATTCAACTGCAGAAACAGGGCTTTTGAGTTTGGGAGGCCATTCCAACTGTAGGTGGATTTGAACTTTTTCTCTGCAACAGGAAATGCTTACTGAGTTCTCCATTATTTTCTTGTTTAATTTGCTCATCTTTGTCCTCTTCAGGTTCCATAAAGCTGTACTATGAATGGTGATTCTGGTGCGGCGGTGGTGACCTCACCACCTCCAACAACAGCCCCTCATAAAGAGAGATATTTCGATCGAGTTGATGAAAATAATCCAGATTACTTGAGAGAGAGGAATATGGCACCTGACCTTCGCCAGGATTTTAACATGATGGAACAGAAGAAGAGAGTTTCCATGATTCTTCAAAGCCCAGTAAGAAAAGAAAACGCTCCATCTTTGAGGCGATGAATTTATTAACTCTATTGTTTTTACTTTCTCTCAAGTTAGTAGCCCAATTTTTCTCACATTATCTGGTTGAAGTTTTATTGTCTGCTCATGAAGAAGCCTCTCAGACTTGGTTTCGGAATTCTGTATGTAAGCAGTCAGCATTCTTTTCGTATCATCTATTTACTTACAGTAAAACACTTTTTAAAATTGCTTCGTATTTTAACATTCATTTAAGTATTGAAATCAAGTAACTCTCCTGAGGGTAGCTTATGCAAACCAGCTCTGTCCTGTGTTCAGGTTTTTGTCATCTGACATTGGGAATATTATCATACATCTCTTCCAGAAGAGGTGCACAATTAGAAGTATTGAATAATTTGAGGATTATGGATATTTTCCTCATGGAGAAAGTTCACATAACAAAGCTTATTTCATGAAGTTTGTTCCTTTTATCGTAACTGATGGGAGACTTTAGATACAGAATGTGTTATGACCTGTCTTCAGCAAGAACAGGGTTGTGGTGGTACATCTGCTGGTTTTCAGGTGGGACCAACTTCTTTGATTTATAATTTACCTACTGATAGGAATACTTATATTTCAATTTCCAGTATTTTTTTTCAAAAGCAGCACCTACTAACAATCTAAAATCTTGTTTTCCTTCATCCAGTGATAAAGAAACACACACATGCACAGGTACAAAATAAAGTATTGTTTCAGGATGCAGTGACCATGCGTTCCTGCATGCCTTCTTGACTCAGTTCCCTCTGAACCATACTGATGTATTCTTTTTCTTCCAATTACTTTTCTTCCAGATTTTGTTTTCTTTGAATTCAATTGCGTGTGTTACTTGGAGAGAGAATATTGAAATTTCCATTTACAAAAAAATAAGTTTCCCGTATTGCTGTTGCTACAGACATTTTCATTTTCAAATGAAAGCGTGCACCCAGTAGTGCTATGCTGAGCTGTTTTGGAGAAGAGTTATAGCACATTTTCATTTAGGCACTTTATAGAAGCTGTGTTTGAAAAGCTGAAGTTCGTGTGTATGTGCTTTACAACATGCAATGTCCTGTTGCAGGCTTTTTGTGAAGAATTGGAGTCTATGATCCAGGAGCAATTTAAGAAGGGGAAGAATCCAACGGGTTTATTGGCTTTGCAACAGATTGCAGATTTTATGACAACAAATGTGCCAAATGTCTACCCAGCAGCACCACAAGGCGGAATGGCTGCGTTAAACATGAGTGAGTGCACGTGAACGTAGAGTAGTTGAATTCTCTTGTCTGAAAGGCTTAACATGAAGGCAGCGTTGAATGCTGTGAATTTCATTGTGTTCTGTGAAGCTCGCATACTACCTTGTTCTCTCATTGGAACACTGCAAACAGAAAATGAGTGGATTTGTTTCTAAGTGATGGTGATACACAGTGTAATTTGTGTGTGTGATTTATATCAAAAGCCATCTGAAGAAGAATGTCTTAGTTGAAAGATAAGCCTGATAAGTGAACATTAGTTGAAAATGTAAGTGTTTTAATGTTTACCAGCTGGATTGTGTACAGGAAGATGAATCTCAGTCATAGTCTGGTAATAGCAAAGGTCTTTGGGAACTATTTTTTGTAACTGAAATACTATTCACAGCTTTCTTTTGTGAAGTGGGAAAAGAAACATCAGAAAAAGGAGAAAAGAAACAAAAAAAGAAAAAAAAAAACAAACCCAAAAACACACACATGGAAAGAAGAAACCACCCAAATATGTGTGAATATGTGCACACACAGGTTTTGTGTTAGGATAAAACAATTCTGTGCTCCAGAATAAATCTGTAGTTGAGACGATGTCATGGCAGATTCTGCTTTATCACAGCTCCTCTGAATCATGCTTGTCAGTGCACTGTAACTAGACTTATAGTAACTGTAATGCTTTACTATAATCCTCTATTTAGCTTGCATTTATTATTTCTCAATTAAATGACCTCACTGGGTGTATAATTCTTCTTTCCAGGGATAAAAACCTGTATGTTTCAGAAAGTGGAATATTTGAGGTTACAATTCTCTGTTATCAATGAACAGTTGTATTTTATATGAGATTTTGCTAAAGAACTTATTGCCACCTTAACCCCAATGAACATTAAGGAAGGAAACTTGTGCTGGCTCTACCTAAGATCTTGTCAGAGGTCTTAATTATGTTGATGTAATATACATTATGACACTACAGTAATTAAATCTTGCTCTTCAATTCTAAGGCTAATATGTTGATAGTAACTAGCAAGAAAAGCCATTGCAACTGTGATGGCTGTTATTGTGTTCTAGCTGACACTGAACACAACTGCCTTGTGCTTTTTTCTCTTCTCAGGCCTTGGCATGGTGACACCAGTGAATGATCTCAGGGGGTCTGATTCCATTGCTTATGAAAAAGGGGAGAAGTTATTACGATGTAAATTGGCGGCTTTCTACAGATTAGCAGATCTCTTTGGCTGGTCTCAGCTTATTTACAATCATATAACAGTGAGTATTGAATCAATGGAGAACTGAACCAATTGTTTTAGAATACAAGTGAACTGACTCCCTCCATCATCTGTCTTTTTCCCTTTGTGTGGAAGAAGAGCAAAGTGGTATTGAAAGCAGTATAATAGTGAAGAGATTAGTCATTGCATCTCAAGAATAAGAACTGAAATGGCTTGGATGTCAGCTACATAGTCTGAATAGTGTCTTAGGAGAGTGAACGTGAAAAGTCTTACAATGAAATTTAAGGTTCTTAAAAGACTGAATCTTTGAGTATCTTAAATGGTTTGAGTAATTCTATGTATTATTCTGCAAGCTGTCTTCATTTTCGAAGTGCTAAGCCATCTTTTCGTTGGTAATACTATTCAATTTCATTGACAATTCTCTTCAGACTTCTTTGTAAAAGAAACTGTAGTATTTCAGAACATGAGTGGACTGTTTAGCTTAGTGTTGCATGCCAACAGTTTTCTTTGTGACTGACTAATCGCTGGCATCTGTAATAAGAATGACAAGGAGGTCAAATCAAGGAGGTTTTATGTGCCAGAAGGATGATCAACATGAGTCTCATGAGTGAAGCCACAGCTGTGGTGTGCAACTCAGTCAATTGTTTTCCTAACAAAGCTGGATTGTTGTAGGGTTTTGTTCCACATTGTAACGGTGGTCCTTGATGTATTTTCAGTTTTTAATTGCAATCTGAATGAAATATGGCAATTTAATTATTTCTGCTTTTTGAGATTTCAGGGTGTATTATGAACTGATGAAGATAATAAGCGATATGAGTAGGTGCAGGATCAGGCCGTGCTGGTTAGACCATTTGGTTCTTTTACTGAGGGAACGTATCCAACAGAGTGGTTCTTGTAAACAGCTGATTTTTCATACATGACGTGAGAATTGATTTTGTAAAAGGAATATTAATGCTGTAAAAGAATAGCAGGCAAACAGTTTTAGAGATGGCTTTCTAATGTCATATTTAGCCCTGGGAATATTTGAGTTTAGATATTAAGTTAAGCGTAATGAGGAGCTGTGTGCCCAGAGGCATAACTAAGGCCGTATAATTGGGAAATAATGCATCAAGTTTGTTTTCTTTTACATAGGAGAAGGAAAGAGAGCTTAGATAATGAAGTTGGATAACGTGTTAGCAGTTTAGTTGGAAGGTAGGGCACTTGGAGTATGAGATGTTGGAAATTTTTGGATGTATTTTGCTTTTGAAGGACAAAGCAGTGTTGGAAAGTTTTTGGTTAATCGTTTGTCACCAGCAATCACAAGTGATAGCTAACTCTTATGCCTGGAAGGTGACTAAGATACAATTTACCTTGAGAAGTTGATGTGGAACAAGGTTGTTGCGTTGACAGAATATTCTCATCTTTGTTCTGTATGCTTATATATGAAGTGGTATTGTGGAAGTAAGGTGCTCTTCAGAATGTGGCAGATGTTATCACCTGATTCAGAGCTGGATTTTGACTCCAGGTTTCCTTTCATTGTGAATGAGTGATCTAATTTGTAGGTGATTGCACTGAAGTTAAAGGCCACTAGTGTACTTCTTGGAAAATAGACTAAAAAGATGAAAACAGCCTTCTGTGAGGAGTGTCACTGTGTAAGATGGAGGAGAAATGCTTTGTGAGCATATGAGAGAGCTGATTGCAATACCTCTGCTTCTCTGGATCCCTGTCAGTCTGTGTGTGGAAGTGTTCAGACTGGTGCAGTCCTGACGCAGCAGCAGAATTACAGAGTTACCAAGAGCTTTCATGTCAAGTAAAAGGATTTGCAGTAAACATGGGTGCCTCCAGGGCTGGGCAGAATTTGAGACTGCAGGTTTGCTGCAGCTACTTCATTCACTTGGTCTTGGTTTGCTTCGAGGGCATGAGTTGTTTATTGGATCTAATCCTGAAGTAGGGTGGTTTGGGAGATGCTGCTGTTTGTTTATCTTTTTATGCTCAAGTTTTCTCATTAGCTTTTGGGGCATTTTAATAATGCCTGTTTTTTGTTTTGCATAATTAAGTAAAAGATTTTTTAGATCATTTGAAAATCTGCAATGGAGAATTATTTTGGTGATTCATAAAGGTACAGGTTAACTTGAACTGGCTGGTGCAGTTCAATGGTTGTGTGCTATGGCATGTAATCAGCTGGTTATCCAGGAAGGCAAATTTGTACCATAAACTTTCAGGACACTGATCAATTACTTGTTAAAAGAATTATTTTCCTGCAGTAGGAAGTACGGATCCATTTAATGTTGAAAGTAGTAGAAGACCTGAGTGAGCAAAAAGTAGGTGCATCTTGAGGCAGTGGAACGTTTGTGGGTTGGATGAAATTACCTGCAGAGCTTCCTTCAAACTTCAGTTACTCTGTGTTGACAAGTAGCAAAGTAGGGAACTTCATAAAATTGTATCTAAACATCGTTTTAAAAGATCTCCATGAGCTCAGAGAAACACACGTCTGAAATGAGCAGTTTTGTTACCATGACTTATTTCTTTTAATTCTCCATTTTAACTCTCCTTTGAGAAACTCCTAAATTATCTGTCCAGTACTTTTCATGGTGCAATGTTGAAACTGATGCATTCCGAGCTGTGAATGTTTTAAAGTCAGCATTATTTTTGTATTATGAACTTGGTTGTCTCACATGGCATCCCAGGACCAGTGGTGAAACCCTACTCAGCATCAAGAAATTTTAATTCTGTGGGCCAAATTCTTAAATTTTCTTACTTTTTCTTTTATACTTTCTATTTTACTGGAGTGTAAATACAGTTGAAGTATAAATTCATTCTTAAAAAAAATGCAACACCTTTTTGCATTTATCACCATGTCATTCTTTTTATCTATAGTTATCTAGTTGTCTTTTCTGCAGAACGTAAGGACTTAGCAGTGTCCACCAACCTGAACAGCTGGCCTGCTCCTACCATCTGAGTCTGTTCAGCGTGCCATAAGCGTGTTGACCGTCTGTCACAGCATACATGAAAGTTGAATTGCATGTGCTATAGCCATACTTGCTTGTTCCATACTCAGGAATTAAAAGTAACTTCCATGGTTTTGGGCCTTTTTGTATGCTTTATTAAAATATTCCCAATAACTTAACTTTTACTCTTATCCTTAGGCCAGAGTAAATTCTGAGCAGGAGCACTTCCTCATTGTACCTTTTGGACTTCTTTACAGTGAAGTTACTGCCTCCAGTCTGGTAAGCAGTGATAACTTTTCACATTTGTAAAATACATACAGCTGAATGTTTTCTAAGTGTTTAAATTCTGTCCTAGAGAATACTTCTTAAATTATTTTTTTACAAGTTTAGGATTGCTTAGTTGAGCATGGTTGGCTTTGGTACTGCTGAGGTGTCTTTGAAGAAAGATTTCTTTCCCTGTGTTCATCATCAGATATCCTCCAGCTGATCAAGATGTAAACAGGAACCAGGTCTTTTGAGTAAATTAACCACATCATACCCTTGAAAAGCATTGGCTGCTGAGTCAGGCTTGTTAAGGGAAACAACATACATTTTTGACACATATGCCAATTTCAGCGTCAAGACATTCTGTCAGATACTTAATTCAGCTGACATTGTTTAATCATTTAACAATTAGCTGAGACTGTAGATAAACACTCTTTTTGAGTTTTGATGGTAGTAGTTGAAGACACTGCACTCTTAACTGTTAGCTCATGGGAAGCCTTTTGTAAGCATCTGTCTGAAGTTTACATTGCTGCTGAAGGCAGCTTGAGTTAATGCGGTGGGCTTCCTTATGCTGGAACAAAATGGAAGCTTTCACACTCTTCTGCTTCGACTCCTTTAAGATCAGTAACCTCTAGCAGAGGGATGAGGTGTTTGTGGAGCAGTAACCTTTCAGACTGGTGTTGCTTGTGACAGTAAAGGTCCTAAATACTCCCCCTTTGGCTTTCTGTGAAGTTTGGCTGTTCCTTACACAACTCCACCTTTAATAGCCTGTAAAATTTTAATTAAAAAAACTGTAAGAAAAGGAAATGAGGCAGGTAAGACCTGCCCTTTCTTGTTAGTTCGGATCTTTTAGAAGAGATTAAGGAACACATGCTGACTTTTGTGTTGTTGGGTGGGCTGATTTTTAACTTTCTCTGCTTGCTTTTATCTTTATAGCAGAAATGTAAGTACTTGTTAAAATAGAATAACAGAAGAAATTTATTTTTAAAGTTTCAGAGGTAGATGCTGTATTAAATCAGATTTCTGTCAGTTTTTGATTTATGAAACAAATTCTTTTCATTTCTAGGTTAAAATCAATATTCAGGGAGATGTAGTTGACCGTGGAAGCACTAACTTGGGAGTAAACCAAGCTGGTTTTACTTTGCACTCTGCAATTTATGCAGCTCGACCTGATGTTAAATGCATTGTTCATATTCATACCCCAGCAGGGGCAGCGGTGAGCACGTTGTTTAGTTTCTGCTGTCTGTGTTCCATTTCCCTCCCCACATGCAAATGCATAAATATGTCAGTCTCTTCTTAATCATTGTTTTGCTTCCTTTATGGCTTCTGTAGTGGTCTAATATTTGCCTATCTATCTATCTATCTATCTATATTTATGTATATAGCAATAGTTTTCCAGATATGTATATACCTAATTTTTTTTTCCTCTTGAAACAAGTTAAGTGTATTGTTTCTATATTTCTCAGGTTTCTGCAATGAAGTGTGGCCTATTGCCAATATCACCTGAAGCCCTTTCTCTAGGGGAAGTAGCTTATCATGACTACCATGGTATCTTAGTGGATGATGAAGAAAAGGTGGTTATCCAGAAAAACTTGGGACCTAAAAGCAAGGTCAGTAGTTACAGCTGAAATTAAATGAGGTGGGAGGGGGAAGGGAGATGTTATTTAATCAGGATCCATATATAATTCACTGAAAATACTTGCATCATTTTTGTTAATCTTCTTTGCAATGACTCTCTAGGTCCTTATTCTAAGAAACCACGGCTTAGTATCAGTTGGAGAGACTGTTGAGGAGGCTTTCTACTATATTCATAACCTAGTGCTTGCCTGTGAGATCCAAGTAAGAATTTTAGTGTTTATTTTAATACTGCAGTCTGCTATACTGACCTTCAAACAGATTAATGGTTGTGCATTTTACTGGTTAAGCTGTTGATCTAAATGAATGCAGTTATCTGTCAAATCATTATATCATCCAAACATCCAAAGCACTGGTTCTACCAGCAGTATCCAAATACTGAGCTAGAACCATTGCTATGGTGTGAATCCTTCTAAGAGTGTTTTTTAGAACCTTAAAGCAACTTTTATACAGTTGATTGGCTTACCTTCAAAATGAAGTAGATTTCTTTTGGTTTGTTGATTTTTACTTGTTTGTTTTTCTTTTCCCTCTTCCCTCAAGAAACTAATAGTTGATTGTATTGTTTTTAAGGTACGTACTCTGGCCAGTGCAGGTGGACCAGACAATTTAGTACTATTAGATCCTGGAAAGTATAAAGCCAAGTCTCGTTCCCCTGAGTCTCCATCAGGTGATGGTTCTGTATCCCATCCAAAATGGCAGATTGGTGAACAGGAATTTGAAGCTCTTATGCGAATGCTCGATAATCTGGTAAGGGAGACCTTGTTGTCTAATTGTTTTGCGTGAGGATGTATAAAACACTTAGGTGCAATGAAGTGGACTGCAGGTGATTAGGGTAATTTTATACAGCCTGCAGCCCATTCCTTCCCAAAAATTAAAGGCTGTCAGAAAAGGAGACAACATGAAAAGCATCCAAAGAATTCTTCAGGTGTCTTATGTGGAGACACGACTTTCCTTGGTATCTGTTATCTGATGGTTTTCGTTTTGGTCAGGTAGATCTTTGTGTGATGTAACATTTCCATTCAGTCCTTTGTTTCTTATCTCTCTGTTCCTAGCCCATCCCAAAATGTGTAAAGCAATATTAGGTGCAGAGCCCAGAATGATTTGATTTCTAACTTAGACACTACAGATCCTAGAAGAGCCCAAGAGGCAAACTCCAAAACAAAGAAATAAGTTCATCTTCAGATAAAATGAGTAAAATCTTGTCTGTGATGGATGAGCACCTGCTAACGTTTGTTATCCAGCTGTAATGGGAAAGATGAAACTCTTCCCATAAGATGGCTGCCATTGGTGACTGTTAATGGTGGTAATCAACACTCCTGATTTAATTTGATTTTCTTTATAGAGTAAACTGTAGTCTTCATGCTAATGCATATGACCTTAGCAAGATCCAGGCTGACAATGATATCTGAAACATTCTTATCATATCTACTATGTAGTAAATAATGTTTTTTCCCCTCAGGTCAGTGGCCTATTTGTGGTATGGAAAAAAAAATCTCCCTACTTCATAGCAATTTGAATATCTAATATTTTCATTATGAGATGGACTGATCATTGATATCCTGAAGTCGAGAAAAATTCTCATCAATGCAGCGAACAACAATCAGCCTATTTATGTAGTTAACTAAGGACAGTGGGCTCCCTTTGTCACTGACTGGTATCTTTGACAGATTCATTTGGATTTCATCTTCTCTAGGGAGCATCAGTTACATGTTTCTTATTGCAAACAGAAAGCAGGATCATGAAGGGAAGTAGCACAGCATTATTGGGAGCATAAGAGCATGAAGAAGCTTACTGTCATCTGTGATAGGCCCTTACTGTTACAAATAGCCACATAGTAGATTGGACAGTTAGCTGCATCAGGCAGTAGGTAGGAGTCAAGATACACTTCAATCATTTAAAACATGGAACAGCAGCCAAGGTAACATATGCTTACATATGCTTAATGCATAAAACTTACGCAACAAAAACTAAGCCCAGGTATTCATGGCTATAGGGTTTCTTTACAGTTTTGTCTCTAAAGAATTTGAGTGCTTTGAGAGACTGTTCATGCTGTTTTTCTTTGGAGATACTTGGTAAGGGGAGGCTTCTTGGATAAACTGTTAAATATCCTTTTCTTAGGGAAAGTGCTGAACAAAATGTCTGAGAAAGCAAAGTCAAAAGGAAATAGGATGCTACTATTACAGGAGGCAAAGGGGGAAAAAAAAGAATTTTGGAGGAAGTGGAAAAGCATACGTAGAGAATGTAGATATAAAAGCAGATCTTGTTGAAAAAAGAAACCTTCAGTTTTATAAAACGTGCTGAATTTTAGATTGTTACGAGTTAGAAGAGATCCTTTTACGTGCCCTAAATTTTTATCATCCAATTGCTTTTTACGTCCTTGCTTTTTAGCACTGTGAGAAACAGCCAGCAAATTTGATTCATGCTTTTGTTTTACTGCAGTCAATGAAACGCAATAACATTGAAAACTATGGTGATGGGGAAGGCTTAATTCTATCTTCTGCTCCTTCAGGGTTACAGAACTGGCTATCCATACCGATGCCCTGCTCTGAGAGAGAAATCTAAAAAGTACAGCGATGTTGAGATTCCAGCTAGTGTCACGGGTTACTCCTTCACTAGCGATGGCGAATCAGGCACTTGCTCCCCCCTCAGACACAGTTTTCAGAAACAGCAGCGAGAGAAGACAAGGTGGCTGAACTCTGGCCGAGGGGATGATGCTTCTGAAGAAGGGCAGAATGGTGGCAGCCCCAAGTCGAAGACTAAGGTGTGGACGAACATTACACACGATCACGTGAAACCCTTGCTGCAGTCTCTCTCGTCCGGTGTCTGCGTGCCAAGCTGTATTACCAACTGCTTGGTCTGTGCCTACCTTACTGTTCATAGTTAGATGATGTAGAGCAACTTGGGGTGGCTGGCACTCGGAGGCTTTGGGAAGAAAAAGATAACTCTCCTAATTCTTCTCTTCTTTCTCACATAAAAAAACTAAATTGCGTTTTACTAACCACTTCATTGGGCTTTTCTTAGATGTGAGTTATAAAACCCTATCCCTTCATAAGGCTTAAAACTGCTTAAACTTTGAAGCATCTGGTCTTCTTTTCTTCTGGCTTTTCAAGCTGATGGCCAAACAGATTGATTCATGGTTTTGATTGAGTATGTTCTGCATTCAAATAGTTTAAGGACAACATTGTTAGGAAGCTGCTCATTCTATCTGCACGAAAGCTGTTCAATGAAAGCAGAAATGGAAACTAACTATTCAGTGTGTTGTACAAATAACAAAACGTTACCCTCTGTTACATATGCCAACGTAATTTGCAAGCAAGTGGAGGTCTGTAAGTATGTGTGAGAGGATAGAGTTGATTTCAAAGTACTTAAGTGTTCTTTTTCTTTAAGCAGTTTTTCTTGCAATGTTCTTGAGCTTCCTTTTCCGTCTTGCTTACTATGCTTTTGTCTTCCCCAAAGCCTCTGAGTGTTCACAACCAGCTGCCTTCTGCATGTAGTGTTGCATGTAAGTAGATGGCCATAAATGGAAAGTCTTTCCTCCAGTACCAGCTGGGTGCGGCATGACTAAAGTGCAGCTCAGGCCATCAGCAGGCACTAATCGATAGATTCTGCAACGGTGCTTTTTTTTGTTTATCAATGCTGCTTACAGTTAAATCTTGCACTGAAAGATATGTTAATTAAGAAGCAAAACTAGCAAATGCTTTCAAATGGACATCAGTACTGTTGGTTTGTAACTGTGGTTTTGTTATTTTCTTGGGCATATGCAGGGCTTCTAAAATGCAGGCAGGGATTTGCACGTGAGCAAGCTTTTGTAACAGCTGACTTCACACCTAGCAAATGAGTTCTGTGGTGTTCCAGTGGTGATAGTATGTATGGTAGTAGGGTGGTGACAGATAAGTTATGAAAGATAGAATTGGTGCTCTTGAAAAGGAAATACTCCTTCCCCTTATTTACACTCTCAGAATTCAACTTTACCTACAGTCGACTTTAACTACAGTCGGAGTTCTCTATCTTTGGAATACCTCCATGCATTGAATACTCAGGCAATGTGTGCACTAAAACATCCAGTGTTAAAATACAGGAACACCTGGAAAAAATACCGTCAAGGATCTCTCTGTCTGTGGTATTTTTGTTCTGTTATTTTGGCTTAAGAAGTGAACATGCAGTGTTTCTACCATCAACTTTTTGTTAAACTTAGCCATAGTTTGTCCTTTGCTGGAAGAAAACTTAAAGCTAGGCATGCATTTGGAGCATGTGTTTTTAACCCTTGCTCACCGAGTAGGCAGTATTTTGTATTTGAAAAATCAGTGAAAAATTGAAGCAAAATTCAGAAACTGGTCTTGTTTAATGATATGCTGAAGCAGTAGAAAAATTGATGCATTGCAGCAGGTTTGTATGTTTGAATTTTTTAATGCTTGTTATTAACATAAGAAAAAATAGCTTGTTGTATTGAGGTTGTTTCTATATTTGTTTTGACTAAAAATTATCTTTAATGAAAAGCTGGAGTAGTTTTTATCTGAGAAGATAATCATCAGTGAGTATTTCACAGCTCCATGTTCATTCCATTTTTTACTTTACAGTTGCAAAGCATTTTAAAATTCTGTTGCTTTTTGAAGTTTGACAGTTTCTGGCTATCTTATTATTTCTTGAAGTTATTAAGGAAAAATGCATAGCATTTGCTCTATAAGCAGGTTTGCTTTACTGTTGAGTGCATTTTCTATGCAATAGTGATTGAAAATCAGGACACCACAAATAATAAACGTATCGAGTTGTAAAGTTAATTGTGCAGCAAATTGAAGGCATCTTCATACTAAATGCACTGATCAAATAAAGCAACCTTCTATGAAGAACCCATAAAGCGCTTACAGTTTGTGTTTGGGATATTTTTGTAACCTTTTAAGCTCTAAGTTATAAAATATTCGACATCACCAAACTGTTCCTCTGGGTTGCTGTGCTGATACAGCTACACATTGTCTGTGCAGAAACTAATTCTGGAAACAGAACATTTCGCTGAAATAGCTGATTTTAATGCAAAACTTTGGTGATGCCCACTCTTGCTTCACAGTACAGAATCATTCACTAAACCTGGTTAGTGGCATCACATTGCTTTTCATACTTCTGTCATCTTATGCTTTAAGTTCGCTTTGATGTCTGTTGAGTACCAGAGGATTGAATCAATGATCTCTCTGTCTCTCTTGTGCTATTTTGTAAAAACACCAAGTGCAGAAAATGAACATGGCAGTGACAGGGTTTTAGAACTCGTGTCTTGGATCTTGCTGTACTTTGTTTGGGTGAGATACAGTGTCCTTTTTGAATGCGTGTGAACTCACTTTGGAATATCTGATAAGTGTCCCTACAAATAACAAATCCTGTTGGAGTTCTCCTACTCCTGTATTCATATAAATCTCTTCACAAAGTGAGAAGTAGACTGTGCCTAGAAACATGAAACCCTGCAGCTGTCAGAGTGGTCAGGTGCACAGAAAAAGAGCTTAAAGCTCTTAGTCTTCATAGTCTCTGAATTGCACATAGCTGTAGTAACTGCATCGCTTTGGGTGGAAGCTATTTGCAAGCTGAACCAGCTCTTTGGTCTTTATGGTTATTGTTATTTGCTTGACTCAATCGAATGATTCTGATACCTAGAAATGTATCTGAAGGTGCAGTTTATATTACTGAAGAAGGAAGCAACTTAAATATTCTTCGAAACGAATAGAAGAATGCAATCATTGGTTCAGTTCTCTGTTATGTATAATGCATGATCAATTCTTACGTGAATTTGCTGCTGTGTGTCCATAGCCATTACAGCAATTCTGACTGTTCAACTGTTCTTGACGTTACAGTGGACTAAAGAGGATGGACATAGAACTGCCACCTCTGCTGTCCCTAACCTGTTTGTTCCATTGAACACTAATCCAAAGGAGGTCCAAGAAATGAGGAACAAGGTTGGTAATAGCAGTAATTTTTTGTATTTATTTCGTTATCATTATGTTAAGTTGCATGCCGCTGGTGGACTAACTTCACTGTGATGGAATTTTTTCAGTAAGATGACTTTGGTATTGCCTTCCTCCTTTCTAGCTAGATACAGAAACAATTCCTAGTTGTTCTGAATCATCTCAGAAAAAGATGGTATTACTGTCCACTGCTTGAAGACTTCTATTGTCTTGTCTTTTGTTTCTGTCAGACCAGATACTTCTGAGATGAGCACCGCAGAGTTCATGGCAGTACTTTTAATCCCTAAAGTCATACTCTTATATGAGTGATCTGTTTTGATTTCACCAGTTGAAATTGCAGACAAAGTTTACAGATTTCTCTCTCTGTATTGTATTTTATCCAGTATGCAGATTTCAGATCTTCTTGTCACCAGTCTTCCAACAGGAAAGCATTGAATACATTCATTTTATCATTTTATTTCTTTAAACTATTGTCACGGTTTTGTAATTTTGCTGCTGGTATATATACACCAGCTTCCTGTTAGTACTTAGCTTTTCTTGGATGTTTTGCCTACTTCTAAGTGATGGCCATATGGAACACAGGAGACAGTGTTATGTCATGGTAAATTCTGCACAGGGTTCGTGGCAGGAGTACAGATTTGTGCTCAGAGGTCCTGTATGAAGTTGACAGAGCTTTTGCTTTTCCTGCTTCAGCAATGTAAAATAATGATCACTTGAAATAAGAGGTGGAGTGAAATTGCTGAGTGATTTCTTCCTGTTTGAAACAGAAATATTGTTGTAATAAAAACTTGAATGAAGTGTCTAAAAGGGTAGATGTAAAACTTTTGCTCTCCTGAGGACAAAGGCAATAATTCAGAAACAAGTACTGAAGATGCAGGACTTTATAGTTCTTCACTTTCTGAAATAAGAAGTATCTTCTCGTAATAAGTTATGTTTGTATGCACGTGTGCATGTATTTTTACATAAACAGTAAGTTCTGGAGGAAGATGATATTGTGGTACACTGGGCTGCCAGCAACCTGTAAAGGACACGTCATGTGTAACAGACATATAAAAGTGACCTCTGTGCTTCTCTCTTTACTTATGTGACCTGATCTGTACAATTTTACGGCAAACCACCACTAAAAAACAAGAGACAGCACGTGCTGTGGTACCTGTGGGCCAAAGTCTGAGAAATGTGGTGAAACAAACAAACGTGGGACGTGCCAACCGGCGTTAATAAGCACAGTTCAGTGATGGGTAGGGCTATAGCTGCCTACACTAGTTGCAGCCTGCTGGCAGGTTCACCCACCCCTTGAACAAAACAAAAAAGTTTTTCCTCTGTTGTTTACGTGACTGTGTTCTGCTGCTTTCCTTTCCAGATCCGAGAGCAAAATTTACAAGATATTAAAACTGCAGGCCCTCAGTCACAGGTTCTTTCTGGTGTAGTTGTGGACAGGAGTCTTGTACAGGTGAGAGAACAAAATGCCTAAAACCATTGGCTTAATCAACTGTGTCCTCTTCTTTCACCTAATGTGTCCCTATAAAATTATTCTTTAATTGGCAGAGGGTAACTTTTTATAAGGTAAGTCTTAGAGGTAACAGTGTTGTCTTTGCAAGAGTGCTCAGGATCAGAAATTTAAGAGGCTTCAGTCATGTAGCCCAAGCATGTCTGTGGAGGATGCTCCTCTTTTTTTTTTAATTTTCTTTATTTTTTGCTGAACATAATGCATGACATTCAGAAGGCTTATTTATGTAGGTTAGATTCTTGTTCAAAACTAGTTGGTCTATGTGACAACTTTTGTTTGTTTGCTCTCCAAGGTTATGTATCTGTTTGAGCACAGCAGGCTTACAATGGGGCAGCAGTGTTGTGTGTTAAACATATCTTACATAATATTTTATGTGAAGAGCAGACTGGGGAAAGAAAGCTGTTATACATCAGTAAAATTTCCAAGCGCTATATCTGAATATGCTATGGACATCAACTATCAACTGGAATCATAGCTCAAAATAAAATAAGAATCAGAGCTATGCAGTTACTCTATTAAACACACCTGAAAGATTTTAAAATCTGTACATCTGAGTGCTGTAACTGCCCTGAAACGCATTTGTGATACACTTTAAGAAGTTTGGCAAGTCTTATTGTGACCATAGCTTTACTTATGTTGGGCTTCGTATTGTGTGCATGTCAATTCATTGTCATTGCAGTTTTATCTACCAGTTACTGTTTCTTTGCATGTTTTTAGCAAGCACATAATGCTCTTGGTTGATGTTTTAAAGCCCGGGCTCGGTTTGCTCTGTTTACTCAATTTACTGTTGCAGGATGCTCCCCTCTCAGACTGTACGGAATCTATTGAAGGGCTCGATCTCACAGAGCAGGCCTTTAGTCCCGCTAAATCTCTGTCTGTTAGAAAGGTACTGCCCTGTCATACTGCTCTAAATACTGTTGTGCACCCTTCGTTGTACCTCTTCCTTACCCTGACCTCTTCCCTCTGTTAGCTCATGATTTAGCTATAGAAAAAAGTAAGGTTGATCTCCAAATTATGTATTTGCAATTATACAAGCAGTTGCTTTACCCTGTTAACGTGTCTTGTAAGGATTTTTGTCTTTCTTTGTCTGTAGAAACTGATTGGGAAATATTTTTGCTTTTAAGGTGCTGATTAGGGTCTGCATGTAGTTGGTTTTTTTTTTTGCATGCTATTAGTATTATTTTTTTTCTAATTTGAAGTCCGTTTGGAATTAGCTTAATGTGAGTTTGATTACATCAGGGTAATTCCAAAGGCATCCACGTGCCCGGTGTCACATCACGGGTCAGGTTGTGATCCTACACTGTTAGAAGTCGTTTCCTTAAAACTTCTCCCGCTTCAAGATTATTGACTAAAGCCCCACACATCCAAATTATATTGGCTTTCAAAATGTACCCACACTTGTGCTTGAAGTAATATGCTTTAAATGCAGAATAAATTCAAGAAATGTGTATCTGGTTGTCTTTGAAGCTGAGTGAACAGGTTTGCAAGTTGGAAACACTCAGCCCTTGGTTGTCTTTCTCTCCCAGGTTTTGGAGGGCTTTCTTAGGAGTGATGCAGCACAGAAGCACAGGGTGTGGATGAGCATCTGTCTGTCATCTACTGCAGTATTTTAGCTTAAATCTTGGTCTAGGCTGTGCCTGGCATTTCATTGTAAGAAATTATATTCTTACAATGAAAAATAGTTTTTCTATTAAAAAAACAGAATAATTTGAATTACGCTGTTGTTACAAATCCCATGACTTTATAGCATTTCCTCGTGTAATCAGTGAGTTTGGGTTACAGGTCAACATACCATGGTGAGGATTTGATTGAGGGATTTTTCAGGTTACAATTCGTTTTATCCATATTCTGAAAGGAAAATTGGTAAAATACTATTTCCAGGTTTAAGAAGAGAAGTAAATAAAATACTTCAAGGCAGTGCCTGCTCTTTATTCTGGCAGCTTTTCTGCTTGATAATAATAACTTTAAAGTGAAGTATGGTTTTTATAATCAATATTCATTGGTAATCACAGCACAGGCAGTTTCTTTCATTGCAGACATCAGTAGTATTTCTCAAGCATTACTGTTGAATAGACTTTCTGTGAAACTGGTCAAATAGTTCTCAGTTTGATTGCTAGAGTTTAAACATCCAAGTGACATTTCCTCTTTGTAGTGTGGTGAAAATGCTTTCCTCCTGGAATGTCTAACATTAGATCCAAATGGCAGTTACATAGGAGTGGCCAATTTCCTTACAGTTTCTTATCTTCATAGGTATTGTGACTTGAGTGCTTAGAGAATTTCCTGTTGATGGAAAAGTTTCTAAAAGATAAAATTTTTAAAAGATGATGCTGAAAATTAATCCAGTACTGTGGAAAAAAGGCAATAAAAGCTTATGGCACCACATAAACAACACAAGGAGGGGGAAGGAAGCGTTAAGGAGACCTGCACACCGGGGGCTTGGGGACTTCTGGGTACCAGATAATTAAAAGTCATCTCTTGACAATTTCTGAGACACTCAGTTGCAATTGAAGTAAAAAGTCCCATCCAACTGCAGTAAGGCTTAAAATGTTTTGCATTTTCAATTAACATTAAGATTCGAATTAAATTCTATCGTATTGGAAAAAAGTCCTGTTTGTGAACAGTCTGCATGCAGTGCTTTGAGTCTGTTGTGCTTTTTGGCTGCAGTAGTAAGTTCTCCATTTTGCCTCATCATTTGCTTTTTCAGTGCTCTGAGAAGCCCTGCTGCGCCGCAGCGCAAACTGCTGCATCATGAAGTGTTATTTCTGTTACAGAGCTGGTTAACTGAACTTGTTGGCTGGACCGAGAGGGAATGCTGGTTCTTCTCACCAATAACCATTCTACAATCTGATAAAAATGCACATAAATTTTCGACAGGAGAATTATGAGTACAGGAGAATTGTCTGTTTCCTTAAAATGAAAATTCTATGGCTTTGCTCTTGCGAGAAGCCTCTCAGTTCTGCCTTAGAGGTGGCACTGTTTTAATGGTGACTTTTATACAAACAGTCCTCTAAGATTCTCCTTTCTCTTTTTTCTTTGGACAATGGCACTGCATTCGTGTCAGATTGTATAAGTGTGACTGCTAACATTAGGTAGATACTGTGAGCTGTGTCTGGTTAAGAGACAAATTGGCATGTCTAAAGGTGCCAGTTTTGCCCTGTCTGTCCCTGAGAAGACAACGAAGTGCTTGCCTGGTGAACGACAGTCATGCAGTAAAGTTGGTGGAGAAATGCAAAATTGGTAATCAAAAATTTCCTTTGGATATGTGAAGTCCCACGTTCAGAATGAAGATGTATTATGTATCAACTGACCATTGCTTTCTTGGACTTTTGTGGGACTGTATGGCCCCGAGAAAGTTCTTAGGAGTAAAAAAACATGCTGTTCCTGGATGTAATTTCTCCTCTGGTGGAGAGAATGTCGATGCTCAGCTATTTGCACATGCACTATGCCCTGGTGGGCTCTGGTGGGGCCTCATCTGGAGCACTGCGTCCAGTTCTGGGCTCCCCAGTACAAAAAAGACAGGGATCTCTTGGAAAGAGTCCAGCGGAGGGCCACGAAGATGGTGAAGGGCCTGGAGCATCTCTCCTATGAGGAAAGGCTGAGTGAACTGGGTCTGTTCAGCCTTGAGAAAAGAAGACTGAGAGGGGACCTGATGCAGGTCTATAAGTATCTAAGGTGTGGGGGGCAGAATGGCAAGGCCAGACTGTTTTCAGTGGTGAGTGGAGACAGGACAAGGGGAAACGGCTGGAAACTGCAGCACAGGAAGTTCTGCACAAATGTGCGCAAGAACTTCTTTACAGTGAGGTGACGGAGCACTGGAACAGGCTGCCCAGGGAGGTGGTGGAGTCTCCTTCTCTGGAGATGTTCAAGACCTGCCTGGATGCCTACCTGTGCGACCTGCTGTAGGGAACCTGCTCTGGCAGGGGTTGGACTCGATGATCTCTGGAGGTCCCTTCCAACCCCTGCAGTTCTGTGATTCTGTAATTAAACTTCTGTCATGGATCTAATGCTAGAATCAGCTTAATGCAGGTGAATCATCAGAACATTCATTTTCCTTTGTTGCCCTGTTTGATGAGACGGTGCCAGTCTTCTGTGTGGAAATGTATTCCTTCTCTGCAGCCTCTTCAATATGCATAGCAACTCCAGACTGATTTTCACATTCAGTTTCTGCAAATGTTTGTAGGAATCTCCAGGCAGTGTGGTCAGGCTCTGCAAAGTCTGTCTGCTTTAGCATTTTATTTCAGAGATCTGTACTACATCTTCTGCAAGCACTTAGTCCTTTGTGTTCCCTTTCCTTCTGTCTTGTGTTACTTTTTCCATTTCTGCTTTCTGATGTCTCTCTGTACTGGACTTGGAAGGCTGCTCTGTGGCCTGCTCTGTGAAGCAGTGCATCCCTTCTTGGATTTTTATGTGTTTTAGAGGAATCGTTCTGCAAAGCTTACCAGGTTACTACTTGGATTTATTTTCCTCTTTAAATTGATCACTCTACGCTTATAATTTTCATTAGTGACCTTTGTCCTGGATTACTGATACTGAGCAAAATTTGGTGTGATAATCTGGAAAAAGTTTTTAGCATGTGAATTTTGCCTTTCTGGTCTCTAATGTAATTCTGCTTTTAGAGATCAAAACCACAGTACCTAATCCAGTTTCTGTTGTTGCCTGATCTTTTTCAGTATTACTTCTCTCAGTTCAAACATACTCAGCTAGTACAAATACATTGGCTTCAAATTATTTATTGCACTAAAAATGACCAGCTTGGTACTGGCAGTTTGTCAGAAGTGCTGTTAGCATCCAGAAGAGTACTGTGCCTCTTTTAGTTTTCAATTCTGCAGTGAAGATCTCTTTGTGTTTGTCCACCAAGCGTGGATATAGAATGTTTGTGTCTTCTTTCAGCTCCGGGTGGTTTTTGAACTCTGCTTTCTCATGATCTCTTTCAAGTATTGACACAAATAACGTTTGAATATGACGGAAGCAAATCAATCCCCCATTCTTTTTTGGTAATGGAATTCCGTTACCTCTTTTCAATAACAAAGACAGTTCAGGCTTCACAGGGAGAGGAGATGCAGACCACGTGGGGCTCATTTCCAAACTGATGATGTCAAACCAAAAGTCAAGCTAAACTAGAGCTCTGTATGTCCTTTGGAAAGACAAATGCTAAAACAAGTGACCTGGGGGATACAGCAGGTATCCAGGCAAGCATCTTCTGTGTCTGAGGTGATGAAAAGCCAATGGCTTCAGTCTTTTCTATTTGAGCAGAGAAAACAGACTTACAGTCCTACCACTCGAGAGTCTCTGATGCAGCTGCTTTGTTCATGAAGACTTGTTATGCTTAGAATTGCTAACTTTATTTGTGTAACATTTTTACGTAGCTTGTATGGCAAGTATTATAGATGTAAATATGCTAACCCATAATCTTACGATTAACCTTAATATTGCTTATAGTTAACAGTTAATCCAGTGCACACAGCACACACACAAGATGGCTTTTTACTATAACATCTGTTAGATGTTATGCAGTAGCTACTAGAAATGGCTTTTCTCTTATTAAGTATTTTTTTTTAAAGACAACAAAACAACAGAAACTATGAGCTGAGTCATGTAACTTCTACAGGTATTCTGTGCCCACATGGCCTTGAACTTGGGCCTACTATCCTGTTTCTTTTGTGGGGAGAAAAAGCAACTTGCTACTTGTGTGATTTTCCCCGACCTTCCGCTAGGCTGGCTGCTCTTTGGCTTAGTGCTTAGTAGTGGGTAGTGGGCATACTGGTGTGCCTCTAGAAGTAGTCAGCACCTGCCTTCTCCTTTATGTTAACCTGCTGTAGATTTGAAAGGAGGGGAGACAAAGCATACATGGAATATTTTCTTTTAAATTATTAATATAAATGAAAATCAGCGTAGCATTTTTCAGATTATCATTTTGGTTGCTTTATAGCCTCTGTACTTCTCAGCATTCTGCGAGTTACTGCTGGGTTGCAGATGTGTCTTAATTTTCTTCTGCCAGGGAGAACTGGTGACTGCTTCGAAGGCAATAATTGAGAAGGAGTATCAGCCCAAAGTGATAGTGAGCACAACAGGACCAAACCCCTTCAACAAACTCACTGATCGAGAGCTGGAGGAATATCGCAAAGAAGTAGAAAGGAAGCAGAAGGGACCAGAAGGTTGGTTTGTCTGCGTGTTTTTTCTGTGGTAGACTGTAATAAAAGCAAGTTTACGAGTCGTTGGAACATGGATTGTCTGCAAAGGCCATGGATATATTATTCTGTTTGTGTGTTACAGTTTTTCCAGTATGTATGAAGAATATTAAAAGAATATTTGAGATAGAAAGTGCGATGGAAGTGTTACAGTGTATTTGGTAAAAGGCATCAAATTGATTTGAAAAATTATCCTAGTAGGAAAACTGGGGTGTTCAGTATGGTCACTTGCTGCTGTTAGGAAGCTGAAAGCCTGAATCTTCATAAAAAAAACATTTAGGTACTGCAGAGTATTGTGGTTTGTTCTGTTCTGCTGTGCTCCCCTTAGCACCAGAGGTAGTTGAGGTTGGGGTGAGATGATGCTGCAGCTTTTAGTGGCAAAGCTACAGTTTTCTAACTTGCTGACATTTGTGGATTTGAGAATCTGTTGATTTGGGAAGACACAGAACAAAATTGCTATTTGGAAATGACACATCATGAGGACTTCCCCAGCAAAAGAGGCCCTTATGATGAGAGAATCTTAGCAGAGCAAGTTTGTTCCTGCACCTAAAGGAGTTACCCTGCACCAAAGGAGTTGTCCTGCTTTACTTGTGTGAAGCTTTACAGGATGCTAGTTACAGTGCTTCTGTCTTCTGCTGTTAAGGTTTGAAACTGATGCAGGAGGCAGAAGTGTGATTTCTTTAACAGTGTGTGTTCCCTGCTTCTGCTTCTTGATAAGAAAATGTAGGAACCCCTGGAGACTCTTTATGTTCAGTTACGCAAGTATTGGACTCTCTGGTGACTGGGATCACACATGTCAGCCAAGAAGAGCCAGATGGGCTGAATTCCTCCCTTAAGGAATTTCACACGGCAGTGATCAAAGCATTAAGGTCCAATCCTGACCTTTTGGCTCAGGCCTCAGGTATTATGAATATGGCACAGTTGCACTTGCAATCTAAGGAACAAATTCTGTACATCATGCAGAGATTCTGCCATTTGAATCCTATCTGTGGGACTGATTTCACTTCATAATTGTTTGGGTGAATGGCCCGGAGCAACGTTTTTGTGCTGTTCCTGATGTATGATGTACCACTCTCTTAATGTTTTTGGCTGTTTCAACCTGGCAGCGAGGGGACCCTCTTACTAATAGCAAATAAGCAAACCACTGTGAAATCGGTTTTGAATCACTTAATTGCTGCATGTTTCTCTGATCATCTGTGCAATCCTTCATTCTTAGCTCTTAGTATGCAATTTTGTTTACTCCAAATTTAGCAGAACATTCAAAGCAAGCAAAAGAGCACTGTCTTGGGTTGGTCTGATAGCTCTTCCCCTCATATTTATGACCATGACTTCCTAGTGATCTTTCTCATGAATTTTCTTAGGACAGTGTGCCATTCCAGATCGTAAACAATTACATCATTCATGTTCTTTTGTTTAAAAAACAGAACAAAAACAAGCACAACCATGGCTTGAACAGTTTTGTCGATATGAAATTTCTTTTGCTTGTTTTGATGGTATTAAATACTCTGACAGAATGTTGATTCAGAAAAAAATGTGTTCAGATTTCGTGTGCATGAAGCAAAAGGACACATTGGTGTCCTCCCGTGCTGAAATATTTTGTGTGCCTTCTCAGTGTCTGTCTGTCCCATCTGCAGAACCTTCAGAAGACGGCAGACAACAGAAAGAGAGAAGCCCCCCTGAGCACAGCTCAGCCTGCACGCCCCCAAGCACCCCCATGAAGGCAGAGGAAGGTAAGTGCTGCTCTGGGGGCCGGGGCAGCCACTAACTGCATCGCTGGTGACTGACGCATGAACATCTGTCAACTACTATCTACTAAGGGTCGATTTCTTCTGGTATTCTTTGGATACTGCCTAAAACATACGACACTGACCTGTAACAGGAGTTCTGCTTACAATAATAAAGAAGTGTGCGTTAATATAAAGACAAAACTATCCCTGCAGAATTGCCTTGTCATCGGTTGTGTTTACCAACTGATTTATCTTTTTGGTCTATTTTCTGCAAGAAAGAATTGCTCTTATGAAATGAAAAGTCTGGTGCTGAGCCAGACACAAATCAAATGCTTTGGTAAATCTTCACTGATTGCACACTTCTTAAATGTTATTGTACTTGGATTACACCTCAGTAAATAACTTTCCAACTCAGTTTCCATATTAGTTTCATTATTTGCTAACCTTACGTAGTAATTAAAGCTGAAATAAGACAGGGCTGTTAGAGTCTGTAATTTCCTTGCAAAAGGATAAAATAACATTCTTGAACGGGTGTAATCTGATTTTTGTCTTGTTTCCTTTACCTCGTACATGGAATATATCACTTGTCTGTTAGTCTTTCATTCACTACTTCATCTCATTCTGTTTCTATAAGAATGGTTGCAACCATTCTTCTAATTTAACACAATGGCTGTGATGAATGCATAGATTCTCTACTTGTGCTTTTTTCTTCTTGTGGCTGCGTTACAAACAGGAGATGGATATGCTAAAGAGTACCTGTTACCATAGTAAGTATCATTCCATACTCTGACTGGCTTACGTGCTTTGCTTCACTCTTGCTTCTTTGTTTCTACGTTTTGGTTGTTGTTGTTGCTGTGTGTTTTTTAAAAAGCAGCTTTTCAGCTGAGGCCCTGATTTCTTTGTTTCATGAAGTCCTAGGCAATTATTACCCTGTGTGACAATGCACTCTCCTTTGAAAGACGCTGCAGAAGTGACATTGTGTGTTTCCATACCTGTGTCCGATTCCTTACAGTTTCAAAAGGAATAGTCTGAAGTTGTCTCCCAGCTGTAGCTGAAGCAGGTCTGAGAGTTCTGCCCCAAGTTTGCTGCTGCCTGACTTAGACTGTGTGCTGAAAGTTCCTTATCTACTCCAGAGCAACAGTGTTGCCACTGAGATGGGCTGAAACTGATAATCCAGCAGGGGTCTGTGTGGAAGTGGAAATGGAACTGCTCACAGCCTGGCTGCCGAGGAATGACAGCAAGTACTTGGTGGCAGCAACACGACAGCTGTTTCAGCCGGCTCTGCAGGGCTGCCTCAGATTATACTTTAAATTAACAAGGATGTTTGGCCCGCTCCATTTGTGTGTCCTGTTGTATCCGAAAGTCAGTGTGTTTGTCATAGATACGAATATTAAGTCACAGTGTAGAAAACTGCGATGCTACTAATGAGCTTCTAAAACCGGAGCGTTCTTTTAAACAGAGTGCTGTTCTACGGACTCCTCTAGGCATAGAAGTTTTGCAGGACAAACATACAATGCTTATTTTAGAGACTGAAGCAATTGAAATTGCAGGCCATGACAACTTTGGCTGGCAGAAGTTCTGCCGGCTGGCAGTGTTCTCTGTTTACAACCACTCCTCAAGTTTTTTTCTCATATCCTTTCTGTTAAAGTGTGGCTGAAGTCAGAAAAGTGTTTCATGTTGACAGTTACAGCCCAGTTTGTATGTTTGTCCTCGTAAGTTTGTGTTTAAAAACATAAACCTTTATTTTCATAAATGCTGGTTGTAAATAAAAGTATTAATTTTACTTTTCAAAGCTCTCTTATGCCAAAATAGAAAGGGAGAGAATGGCTGTAGGCCTGACTGTTCTGAAGGGGGCAGGAGAAAAGAACACCTTCTGAAACTTCTGGGGTATTGTTTCATTCTTATACTGTGAATAGGTTTTGCAGCAGTTTTTTTGTCTAATTGATAAATCTTCCTAATTTGGTAAAGCAGTGCCCTTAGTGAGCCAGATGGACAGGGAGCAGATGTTTGCTTCACACTAATCTGTTCAGTAGAGATGCCGGTAATTTGGCAATCTGGGAAGGATGGTCCTGGATTAACAAGTTACAAAACTGGTTCTATTTATGCACTGCTTAGGCCAGCTGGCAAATGCTGTCTCATTGCCTGGAGCTTCCCAGGTGCCCACGGTAAGAAGCTCTAAAATGGCAAATCTGACTGATGGTCAAATATGGCACCTGTTCTAAAAACCAGGCTGCTGCTTTCAGTGAAGTCCAATCCAAGAAGATGGTAGTGGCAGCAGAGAGCTGTGGGTGCTGCTTCATTCCTTAGGAGGAAGTTTTTCACACAGAGGGTGGTGATGCACTGGAACAGGTTGCCCATGGAGGCTGTGGATGCCCCATCCCTGGAGGCATTCAAGGCCAGGCTGGATGTGGCTCTGGGCAGCCTGGTCTGCTGGTTGGTGACCCTGCACATAGCAGGGGGTTGGAACTCGATGGTCATTGTGGTCCTTTTCAACCCAGGCCATTCTATGATTCTGTGCATGTATATGGCACAGCTGTACACATTAGGCGAGAGCCTCAGGAGACAGCTTGTAAATACAATTGCTTTCTCTCTTTTGCTGTTTTATGCCCTTCTCGCACTGTAACCTTTAAACTTCTAACGTGTGTGGAGCATTTGGAGCTGAGCTCTGGTTTGCTGTGTTTGCTTGACAACTGAGATGGCTGTGGTGCTCTGGGGAAAACAGGTTGATTTCCTGCAGGTGTTCACAGAACAGCCCTGTGATGTGGAGTAGGATTGCAGGTCTGTCTGGCAGAAATGAAATGGACGGTTTGTTTTTTCCCTAGGGAAAACGGGAAAGTATAAACTATCTGCTGTAAATTCTTTTGAAAGCCTTCAGTGTTCTGAAGATGAAGTTCTGAAGCCAAAACCAACAATAATAGAACTTTCAAACTGGGGAAAAAATAGATGCCTTTCTTTTGTGCCTGCCAATGCCAATGGCCTGGATTTTGTTCCAGATTTCTCCTTACATAACATGAGTGGAGATGTGTTTGACACCGCAAAGGAGACACTTCTCAGCTTCAGCGCAGGGAGGGAACTTTAGATGTGATAGTTGTTAAATTCTGTATGCAGAAAGGAAAGCTTTCAACAGAACCTGTGTAAAGCATGGTGGTTCATGGGAGAGGTGCTACAGGCTGGAGTGTAGTGCTGAAATTCACCTCTGGATGTGGATTTTTTGATCCTCCTTCATCCAGGGGTGAGAGCTGCTGTATCGCATAACCTGCTGAGCTCTTTCAATTGGATAAACTACATGGATTTTACTTACGTGACAAGAGTCCATCATTCGTACTCACATATCTTGCAAAAGCAGTGAAGCCTTTGTGATAGGATAAGACATTAATAAACTACATCTGTTAGCTCTCATGGAAGAACATTATGGAAATCCATGTATCGCAGTTCAAAGCTGGCAAGCCAGCTGGCAAGCCAGCGGTGGACAGTAGTTACAAATCAGCAATTACTGCTATCCCAGCAAGTTAAAAAAAAATAAAAATAATAATAATAAAAAATCAAGATGCTGAACTTCGTGATGCTGTCTTCAATACCAGTGAAAACTGTAGGTTCAATTCCTGCTTACTGTACTTAAGTCTCGTGTTGCTTGCAAATGCTACATGAGACACAAGCGAGAAGTCTCAAGTTATGTTCTTGCTGCACGATGCCCACAGAGTGAGTTCAGCTTTAGCTCTTCTGTGGTTTGAAGAAAGGAAAAAAAACAACACTTTAAAATATCTTATTTCTGTCTCTGTGCTGAAAGCTAAATAAGACAGAGCTGTTACAAAGGCTTTCATGCAAAGTAAATATTTTAGTTTATTATTTTATAGAGAGCACATACCATCACTTGCTGGGCTTTCTCTATCGCAGGGACACGGTGAGCTAACTGTGCTGTTCTCTGTCCGTCCATTAGAGACACAGCAGGACCAGACCTACAGAGATGACAGTGATGCTGCAACTTTGAAGCAAACCCTCCCAGATCTCACCCCCGATGAGCCTTCAGAAGCACTCAGCTTCCCTCCCTTAGGAAAGGAGGAAGGGAGATGCGATGAAGATGTGTCCAAAAGCCAAACAGAATCACCTGCGGCAGCAGATAAGGAACCCCAGCCTCAGCCTGCTGAAGAACCAGCGACTCCAACAGCTGAGGAGGGGACGGCAGCTGATGCAGGTAGTGATGAATCTCCAGGAAAGTCCCCATCGAAAAAGAAAAAGAAGTTTCGCACTCCTTCCTTCCTGAAGAAGAGCAAAAAGAAGAGTGACTCCTAAAGGCCAAACACTGCAGAAACACTGTCATATTTTAAAATTCATTAACCACTAGAATGTACCAGATTGTACTGAGTGTTTTGTCTTATTATGTACATGAATGCAACAAGTAATCCAACTAGCCCCTCAAGTTATGGCTTGATCGTTTAAGGTTATAACCAGAAATTAACATCCAAAAAGGTGCTAATCCTGTGTTTTCAGCAGCTACCACCGATCTGATCCCTAATTTCTAAGCAAATATAAATGACTTCCATGTAGAGGCATTGAATCACTGTTTATACCTTAAAGCCTACACCGCTTTACGGAAGAATAAAACCAAGCTTTTGCCATTAAGAGTGCAACACAAATTGCTTACCACGAGCAGCGTTCTGTTTCAAAATTCTGCTCCAAGTCATAAGTAAATTTCTTCTTCACTGGTGACTTCTAGCGAGGATGCTTTTGCAGTGGTGTTTTCAGGGGATGTGCTCTCGAACTGACATGTAAGCTTGCAATCTTGTGATTACCGATCAGGTAGCAGTAAAGCTTTGTGACCTTCCTTCTGTTCCTTCCTCACTTTTTCCCCACTTCTGACTACAGTAACAAAATGGAAGTGTTTTTCACTTACACCTGGCGCTTGAAGCCATCCTTGTGTAGGACTGAAGTAACTGCGCCGTGTGTGTTGATGCAGCCCTCTGTCCAGGGATTGCAGCTTGAGGGAAATCAGTCCTCGGCTCCCTGAGAATCTGTCAGATGGTGATTTGGCTGTTGGGTGCAGTGAAAAGGTCAGTCCGTGGTGATGCAAAGCCCAGATGGCTGCATTTTAGGCCTTAGCACAGATTTGTTCCACCTGTTCAAAAATACCCTGGGTGCAAGTGCAGACCTGCTGCACAGAAACCCCATCTGCAGCATTTTGCAACTATTTCTTCCTGTGATAAAAATGTAAATGTGTTACACTGAGCATTGAACCTTGTTTCGATATTATTTTCACTTACAATGAACCTCACAACTGGTATTTCTTTATTTTGTTGTTCTTGTTGCCAGCAGTAAAGGACAGGAATTCCAGCTAACCTTCTTAAGGATGTATTTTCACAGATGTTTGCTATAAATGTTTGTTTAGTATGTAGCATGGTGAAGAAACTCACTTTCACTACTGAATTAACTCTTCTCCAGTTACTGCCATGCTCTATCACTAATTGGGTAAGCAGTCTCAAGATGAGAGGTGAGGCTTGCAGGAATCCCCCAGGCGCTGTCACTCAGCCCCAGGCAGGGAAGGCCGCTCCTCGCCTCCCAGTGGCAGCATTCCTGGTTTTAAAGCAGAAACATCGAGAACTCCTGCGTGGGAGAAGGCAGCGCTTTGGCTCGCAGCGTGCAGCAAACAGGGTGGGTGTTCACTGCAGGACGACGTCGATAGGAAGAATAGCAGAGAACTTAATGCCTTACAATTCACGTAGTAGAAAGCATCGCAGAAGAGATGGGTTCAGCAGCTGGGGGTTAGAAAGGCCTACATTAGGCCTGGGGCGTTGGTACCTTGGGTTGGCTTCAGGCAGTGAAGGGAAAACGGCAGAAATGGCAATCAGAGCTGTAAGGCTTCAGGTGAGCAAAGAGCTTTCCAAGTAGTATTGAATGCTGTGAGGAATGGAGCTTTGCCTGTTTGGGGTACGGTGGGAACTGAAGCAGCAGTAACTCACTGTGCAGAGAGACCCCTAAACAGCAATGTTTAGTCAGGGCTGCATGGCACTAATGGCTTTCAGCTTGTACTTTAACCTTGTATGTCCTCTGTACACTAGGAAGCATACAATACTTATTTTGCTAAATTGTGTTTTATTGCAGGGTCGTAATTAAATTACTAATTGCTCTATGTTTCAGTTCAGTAATGGAGTCCCTCCATTTATCTTTGACCACATATGCAATGACTTTTAATTTCAAATTTTGTAGTTTGTTCTTTTAATTCTTTGTATTACAAATGAAATGTAGTCATGTATGGTATGGTTACACACTCTGGGGCAAATTAAAGTCCTGTATTTTTCTTTTTCTTGTATCAATTAAGTTCTACTCACAAATAAAACTCTTTAAAAAAAGCACATTCCTATTTGCTTTCAAAACTTCTACTGTTCTACAGCTGTAAACCTGAACATTTAATTAATTAGCTCCATTTTCTGTTAGTCATTTATCAATGATTTAATGTATTCTTGGAAACAATACTTAAACTGGCTCCTGCAGGGCTTCCTTCCCAGGCATTCTACCTGAGCAGTTGGCAGGAACTGGTCCCTAAAAAGCAGAACCAGCTGAGCTCAAATAGAAGGTGGGTGTGGTGAGAAGGTGGAGGGGTCCTTCGCCTTCCCCTAAACCCCTTCCCACCTCTGGCCTTCCAGCACAACCTCTGCTGAACCTGCCCCAGCCCTGCTGGAAGCACTGTTGGCTGCTGGAGGGTTCTGTTCCCTGCTGTGGGCTCCTGGACTCCAGTTTTGCTGTGCCAAATCATAGTAGCAGTGTTGGGTTTGCACTGATTACTGACTGGATGAGTGCACAATGTAACAGTTTATTTGTAATGCAAACGAACAGTGATTGGTCATCAAAAAACATGCAGTACCAGAAATATAAAACAGCTCAATTTAATTTTAAGTGTAGTAAAAACAATCCATTGAAGACCAAAGTACCAGTCAGGCTCAGGAAGCCTGGAGTGTGCTGCTTGCTCTTCTTTTTGGTTGTCAGGTTTTAAGGCAGTTGATACGGCTCTTACCAGCTCCACTCACAGATAACTTGTGCGGCTCTCATCACTGGCGGCGCAGCGTCCCGTGTCTGTCAGACAGCTCCTGTACATTTGTTCTCTGCTAGCTGGAGGCAGAAGAATCCTCTTTGTGGAGGCTTTGGGCAGTGGGGTTCACCAGGCTTGTGCTGATGGCAAAGGAGATGCACAGAGAGCAGCTCCTTATGGGCTGCAGTGTGGTGGCAGCAGCACTTGATGTCCAGCTGTCGTTTTGGGGCATGGTGTGCAGCAGCGCCGCCGTAAGGCCGGTCTCAGCTTGCCAAGCCTCATCTGATGGTCTTCATATTTTACTAAACTGCAGCATGTTTTGTTTTCTTTTTTTTTGGTTTCATTTTCAAAACTGGCCAAGGCAGTTGTGAGGCTGTCAGCTGAAGTGTTTGTGGTAAGAGATCTGCAGCCCACTGTTACTGCATGTGGTCATTGCACCTTGCTTTCCACAACATCCTCTTCTCCCACTTTGGTCAGTGGACTCAGGTGGTGAGAATTGGGTGGTGGGGAGGTCCTTGGAAACTGGTGATAGTTCTGGTTTCTTCTTGCCTTTGCCTACTCCTCCTTTGTCTGCTGTTTGATAGAACCGAGTAAAATGAAGGGGATGAGGAAAAAAGCTCCACAGATGGTGAAGCAACTCTCTGCCCCTGCCAGCCAGTAAACTGAAAAGGAAACAGATTTTGTTATATTTAGCATAACTGTCCATGCACATATGTGAACAGCACTCAGAGCTGCTGATAAAATGGAGAACACAGGTGCCAGTACAGCCATGACCACTGAATCCTTAATGCATGCTCTTGCTTGCACGTTATAAACAGGAGGTGGCTAATAGTATTGCTGGCAATAATTTTCCTCCAATATAAAACAACACGATAAAAAACACCTATTTTAAATAGGGTGTTTTCATTTGGTATAGAAATAGGGGAAGTTCCTGTTCACTTACCCGCTTCAGTCACGGGGCAGCTCTAACTGTCCCTAGCACATGCTCCTCAGCTGCTCCTGCTCATAGCTGTCTGCTGCTCCTGAGTGTCTCATGCTGTTGCTACTGATGAGATGTGCATAGATCTAATGCTTGGGGTTGGAGGAAAGGGCACTACACGTGCTGTGCCCTGCAGTTGTTCTGCCATCTTGGCTTTGCCGTAGTCTGAAGTTTGTCCCTTCCCTTCCAGAAGCTCACTGCCTGCACCGCAGGGCGGCTGTTTGTCCCCATGGTCAGGAAAGTGGCTCCGACCTCTCTCAGATTTAACTGAGCTCAGAGTTGAGGCTGGGACACGCTGCATGGAACAGGGGTTGTGGTTCCCCATTTCCTTCTTCCCCAGCCGGGCCGCAGGCACCTACAGTGCCATTGTGTGTTGGCTGGAGCACACAGCCCCACTCACCCGTGGCTGACAGGACAGGTCCCAGCGCCCTCGCAAGGGCCCCCAGGCTCCTCAGGATCCCCATGACTCTTCCTTTTTGGCTGGCAGAACCTGGACAAGCAGAGAGCCATCAGTCAGCCTGGAGCTTTGATTTGCTTGGGGCAAGGACAGCGTGAAGGGCAGGGTACTGCTCTAGCTCTTGGGCCTGCTTCTTTTGGACTTATTTCCCACATGCCGTTGTTCTTCCTTTCATTTCACACTTACTGCCTGAGCCGTGCTTTTCATTCTCACCTAAGGTAAACATTCATTAAAACAAAACATCAGGACTTGTCAAGTGTGCTTGTCCACGGCCACCTTGTGACTCCCTGCTCACAAAAAATACCCCAGAAACCAAACAGACCAAAAAAACCAAGCCCACACTCCAAAACCAACAAAAAGCTTTACTCTATCTAGAAAAGCTACATTTGCTTCTCTAGATTTCAAAGCAGTTCTGGAATTGCTGAGGCAGTGCAGGTATAGGAAATCCCATCACCTTACTTTTCCCCTCAGCCAGCACTGCAGTGTGGCAACCTTGCTTATGAACCAAAGCTAAAGAGCTGTCTTCTACAGCTGCCAACACAGCTACATCTGCTTTGTGAGGTAACAAAGCAACCACTACCACACATCCCCATCTTCTCTGAGGAATGAAGAAGGAATGAAGGAAGAATGATTTCCCTCTTCATAACTGCAGCTGGGAGGAGGGGGACACTTCAGCCAAGCTGCCTGAGTCACTCGGCCAGCGTTTTTGTACCAGAGGTGTACCAAGGACCCGAGTTCCTGCTGCTGCATCTCAAAACTTGAGGTCAGTTCCTCATTTGAGCCCATTGTGCAGAAGGTTGAATTAAGTGACTGAGGGCTGCCCCCCAGAACGAGCACTCACCGTAGCCTGAAACCACTGCAGACAAACACGGGATAACAATGGCAGCAGCTGGAAAAATCCACAAAACAGACTGTCAGTGAACAGCAGAGTTCAGTTACCAGCAGCAGTGACAAACATGTGGTGCAAACTCGTTACTACTGCAGAGAAAAATGCTGAGCTCTGAGGCATTGTACCAACAATGAATCATAAGGTTTAACCCCGTTCAGTAATGAAAACACCCCCTCAAAGCCAACCTGCAGGAAGAGCCCAGAGCCAGGAACGCTCTGCGCAGGTGTTTCCCATTAGTGCTCCATTCCAGGAGCCCCTGGGAAAGGGGCGGCCAGGTCAGAGCAGCTAACTGGGACCATTCCAGATCGCTGCAGAGCTTTCGGGGCAGCGGGGAGAAGGAATCGCTCGCGTTTCCAACAGACTGTGAGGTGCCTGTAAGCAGAACGGCCCTGCGCCGTGCTTAAGGCTTCAGTCATGGATGAGAGCCGCAGCCACCTTCTGCCTTGGGAAACAAGAGTTAAGTCCAACTCGAAGAGGTTACAACATTTTAACAAGAGCCAAGAGCTGTGCGGCCAGCACTGCCCTCTTACTGAAACAGGGACCTTCTCTGCCAAGAGGGAAATGCTTTCAGCATACAAAGCTGAATCGTTTCTGGGAAGGAAAGGACAACTGGAGAGCAGAAGGATAAATGTGTTGCTGTAACTCCTGGGGCAGGGGAGGGAGAGAGGGGAAGAAGAGGCTCTTTCTGGATGGCTGAGCTGTTATGTTGCACCCAGGTGCGTAGCTTGGAGGACCAGGCTTTTAACATAGAAGCACAGTCACACAGAATGAATACCAGCTCTCACTGAGGCTGTCAAAATCAAGGTGAGCTGTAGATAAGATCTAGATCTTGAAGCCGGTCCAACACACAGCTGCTCCTACACAAGTAAGGCACTAAGGAGATGCATTTTGTGATTGTTTACTCTTAAATCAAGCTGTATTGTGCAGAAGATGAGTCTGTCTTCCTCTTTCATAATTAGTCTTATTTGAAGCTGCTTAGCAATAGTTGCCAGTACTGGGAATATCTCATGTCTCTCTTTTTTATTCTTTTTTTTCCCAGATACGCACTTCAGCAATGCTCCATCACAGATAAACCCAAATGATTTGTAGCTGTTTCCCTGAATAATGGAAAACATAAAGAAATGCTCTCTCGGTGCCTTTCCTGAGATGAGCATTCAGTGAATATTTTTCTTCTAAGATCTGCTGAAAGAGAAGGAAAAAAAACCTCAAGAGCCCCACAGTGAGATGGGACAGCAGGAGCACTGGGGATGCGTTCAGCCGTCACCATGGCAACTTCCTTGGATACAAACAGCATCAGAAAACAACAGACACTATTCCTTCTAGATTTAATAAACAGAAACATCAGCTTCTGTTACATAGGTTGAAATAAGACATGCAGCTTTTTTTTTTTAATGTGCAGAAAAAATTCCTTGTGCTTTTGAATAGCTCACCAAACGAGTACAGCAACAGTCCAGCGCTCAGCAGGGTCACATTTGCAGCCCATCCAATTAACAGGAATGCTGGAATCAACAACAAAATGGCCTGCAGAATGGAGGAGTCACAGCGTTACATGTAAACCATCCTTGTCACAGCCTAACCCCAGCTGTGCTGCCACGTCTCTTCTGCTGATGCCTTACACTTCGACCAGAAGCAGAAAGCCCTTTCTTCCTGAATGGACATTTTAAATTTAGCTGGATGGCCACACAGTTCACCTCTCAGTTCTCTCCCTATCACACTGCAGACAATCCATGTGCTGAAGTCACCCCTTCAGGCAGGCTGTAGTTACAGCCCATGACTGATTTTCTGCAATTGAAAAAAATCGGATCGGGCACTTCTTTCACATGATTTACTTTTTCCCCCCTCCTCATGCTGAGTCGAACAGTCCAGAAATCTCACTTTAACTCTTTACCTCCTGAGCTAAACCAAGACATGAAGAAGCTTGCAAGCAATAGGACTACAGCTCCTCAGTTTTTTCTCAGCAGAGCTGGCTGGCTCGAAGGACCACATCCTGCCCTTGAGCTT